CCCCATCAACAATTATTGTGCAACCTGAATTTTCTGGCATGTGATTAAATCTCACTTAAAAATAGTAACGCTCTGACAGCGCCCTTATTCCAGCTCTCATGCTGTTCAATTAAGAACAATGTCTGTTAATGATTGACAGTAGATCTTAGATGCCTTAACCTTAGATGTCTTCTCATCTTAGACAGCACTCATCTTTGAAATCACACACACTGAGGATATGTGCCAATGGGTCCTCTGCAGCAATACCTCACCAGGAATGAGGGTCTGTATGCTGCCCTAAGGCTTTGCCACAAGAGCAGTAGCAAAAGTATTCACGGGTGGGAGAAAGACTATCTCAGTAGCTCTGTGTCCTCCTGCCCCCAGTTAGAGCTGCTGCAAAAATGAACCACATAGATTTGAATCACAGCATTGCTTGAAGCATAGCACCGTTCTATTCTGCCTTGGTCAAACAACACCTAGAATGCTGTGTCCAGTTCTGGGTGCCACAGTTTTAGAAGGATATTGACAAGCTGGAATGTGTGCAGAGGAGGGCGACCAAATGACTGAGGGTCTGAAAACCAAGTCTTACGAGGAATGGTTGAAGGACCTGGGTATGTTCAGCATGGAAAAGAGGAGACTGAGAGGAGAAATTCTGACTATCTTCAAATATCTAAAGATGGAGCAGGCTTGTTTCCTGCTCTGTGAGGTAGGTCCCAAACCAAGGGATTCAAGTTACAAGAAAGGAGATTCCAACTAAACATCAGGAAGAACTTTCTGACAGTAACAGCTATTCGGCAGTGGAACAGTCTGTGATGGCCTGGGATTCGGGCTCGGACTCGGAACCAGAGGAGTCTCAATATGCACCGGATCCTTTGCCTGAAGCATCATCTGAACCATGTCTGGGGCCTGATCCTGAAGAGTCCCAGTCTGCACAGGTTTCCCTGCAACAAACCCCAGCTGGGCCGAGTCAGGGGCCTGAGCCTGCCCTGGCTCCAGATGCAGGGATTACCTCGTACCCTTCAGCTGGGCCATCACTTACAGCTGCTCCACTACTGGTTTGGTCAGGGGAGGCTGAGGTGGCCCCTGGGTCTAGTAACCCACCGATGTCTCCTGAGCTGCAGAGACTCAGGTCTGAGAGAAGGAGAGACCCGAGTACTCGCAGGAGGAGTGCTCGCCTTCGGGCGAAACAGGGAGGTGAGTTGCTGGGGGATTAGGACCATCTGTTACCCCGACAAAGATAAAAGGCTGTTGGACCCCGCCCCAGGTTGTGGGGACTGACATTGCTGTTTGCCAGACCCTGCCTGAGATCCTGTACCTGTCCTTGCCTGGTTTCCTGCCTTGTCCCTGCCGGACTGACTCCTAGTGGAACCTACGGATTCTGGACCAGACCTGGACCGTGGTTCTTGGGTTACCTCTGGGCCCAGCACACGGTCTCCCTCGGGAGGTTGTGGACTCTCCTTCCTTGGAGGTTTTTAAGCAGAGGTTGGATGGCTACCTGTCATGGATGCTTCAGCTGAGATTCCAGCGTTGCAGGGGGTTGGACTAGATGACCCTTAGGATCCCTTCCGACTCTACCATTCTATGATTCTAACTAAATTTGGGGTCCCAAAGGCTGCACCTGTCATATGAGGATAGCACAGAGTCTTCTTGACACTCATTGCTCTGCACACTTTTGCCTCTGCCCCCGCTCACCACTGGCCTGTGGCCCCCGGTTGAATAAAAGGAAACACAGCCCTCAAGCTGAGAAAGATTCCCCACTCCTCTCTTAAAGCCTAATAGATGTATTGTAGCTTTAATGGACTAGAGCCCATTTCATCTGATGCATGGACTCCATGGAAGCTCACACAACAATAAATCGAATCATCTTAATGTCTCTTAACTCCTTTTATTGCTTTTTGCTGTCACAGACTAATATAGCTACCCATTCTGAAATACATCCCTTTGCAGGGTTAGCACCAACTGACCAGCGAAGAATAAAATAAAACATTTAAAGTATGCAAAGAGTGTGTTTCCTTCTGCCGGTGTGCACAGATAGCACCTTATCCTATGCACCACTTACTTGACTTGAACATTAACTCCCACTGAGCTCAATGACGATTTCTCCCAAGTTAATATTCATCAGAGTCCAACCTTAGAATTAGAAGGTGCAGTTTCTGGGTCAGGAAGCTTGACTTCTAAATCCAGGCGGCTTTGAGTCCCATCATCTCATTTTTTACGAATTTAATGCTGGCAACATGCAAACTAGGTTACTAGATCAGAAATCAAATGGCAATGTAATGCCATACTGAGAGAGATTGTTAAAACAAAGCCCTGTCATTATGAACATAGGAAATGTGAATCCTTGAGGCAGGCAAACAGCACTAGTCACAGTGAGGAAAGGGGGCTGGGGAAGACAGCTGGAAACTCCTTAAACCGTGGATTAATAAATAATAATACAACAGATTATTCAGGCTTTGCTGGAAGGAAAAACATGCATTTATAATATTCCGCACAAGGTTGTGATCTGCCTCAATAGCTCAGTTGCATTCCGTGAAACCTAAGACCAACTGCTCTGTTTAGATTTCAATTCAGCATTAGGCTTAAGGCTCTGGGTGAGTTACAACATACTTAAAAACCAACAAACCGAAATAAAATCATTGCATACTATGTGCCCACAAGTAAAGTGGTTCCCCATGTTTAATCTCTTTTCCTCTCATAACAACTTAAGTCCTAATCCATCAGGAAGTCCTCTTGTACAAGCCCTGCTGAAATCCAGGAGGCCAGGCCACATTTGCACTTTGTACTAGGGAGGCTCTGGGTAAAGCTAAAGCTGCAATTCTATGCACACTTACCCTGGTGTAAGTCCCTTTGAACTCAGTAGAACAGGCTTTATCAGAATTATAAATACTACATGTGGTTATAATTAAGAATACTTAATATTTACATTGAATGCAAAAGCAAGTTGCTTTGCAGGTATTAAGCTGCTGCAATTCTTGCAACAGTCCTGCAAGGTGGGTCAATATTATTATTCCTTTCTCGCAGATGGGGTGCTTAAGGCTAAGAAAAAGTGACCTGCCTAAGGCATTCTAGTGAGTTCATGATTCAAACTGAGGACTTGCAGCTTTGTGGATTGAGTCCACCAGAGATCTTCATCAGGCTGTGTGTTATGCAAGGGGGCTTGCTATTGAAGCAATAATGTTTGCATTGGTTTGTTTTTTAATTTAGAAAGGTCATTTTTGTTATAGAGCATTATAGAACTATAGTTCTATAGTTACAGAACTATAAAAATCAAATGGGGAACAGCTCGGTTGGAAGAGCATGAGATTCTTAATCTCAGGGTGGGTTTGAGCATTCCTGCATTGCAGCGGGTTGGACTAAATGAATCTTGTGGTCCCTTCCAACTCTACAATTCTATGATTCTAGCCTATGGCTCTCCAGAAGTTGTTAAACTCCAACTCCCAGCATCCCCAATAGCATCAGCAACTGTCAAGGATCATAGGAGTTGTAGTCCAATCACACCTGGAAGTTCCCAGGTTGCTTATACCTCTTAGAGAACTTTTAAAGAGGCGTGGCTGTGGAGGCATGAATTCACCACCACACCTCTGAGTCCTATGCACACATAACTGGCAGAAAACTGCTATTTCACTCATGCATGGGGACTTCAGTATAAACAAGTATGGGGCGGGGGTCAGGCTTTCACAGCTGTCATCCTAGGCATACTTCCCTAGAAATAAACCCATCAGTGGGATTTACTTCCGAGTAAACGGACCTGGGCTGCTTGGTTGCAGCTTAGCCCATCGCGCAAGAAGGGGGAACAACTGGGAACCAGGGCCGACCACCCCACAAGGCAAGCTGAGATCTTGTCTGCGTAATTCTTGGCGCTGCGGAACCTCGAAGCCTGTTCAGATCCCTGCCTAAAAGTCCACCATCCCCCTCGAGCCAAGCCTTCTCCAAGCGCTGGCCGAGCCGAAAAAAAGACACCCACGACGTCAGTTCTCTGCTTGCGGACGTCACGCCTTTGCTCACAACTACGCCATACCCTCTCCAACTCAACTCCCCCGGCAGGCAGGCAGAGCCACCGCGGGCTCCATTTTTTGTTGTTGTTCCCGTCGCCTCTTTAGAAAAACTAAGCGGGTGGATGATCCCCGGTGATGATGATGATGATGGAGGTGGAGGCGAGGAGGAGGCGGCAGCTAGCGAAGGAAGGCGGGGGAGTTCCCCTCCCTCCTTAAAAGCCGCTTCCGGCCCCGCTGCCATATTCCTTTTTTGGAAGGGGGAGGAGGAAAAAGAAACCGAGAGAAAGAGAAATGAAATACTGTATAAAACAAGGCAGTCGAGGCTGACGGTGGTGGCAGCCGCTGCGTTTGGAGAGACTCTCCTAGCGTAGCGCGTCGACGCCAGGGCGCCCGGTGCCACGGGGACGGGCCTAAGGAGTGGCGCTGGTGGCGACGAAGCTTTGGATTCCTTGCTGGATGCTTCTGCCGGAGAAGAGCTTGAGGGATCTCTGGCGCGAGGTGGGGGCGGAGAGAGAGGAGACGGTGTCGGAGGCGCAGGCGGGCGTGTACCTCGGCGGCTGACCTCACTTCTCGAAAGCGCTCCAAGTTCACCATCCCTCTCCAGCCAGTTGCTGATCTCCAGCCTTCTGCGCACCGGGAAAGGTTGCTGTGGGGCAAAGGCATCAGGAGACCGGCTCTGTAAAGGCGCACGCCTCTCTGGAAAGAGAGAGCGAGCGCGAGAGCGCGCTTCCGGCGCGCGCACACACACACGCATCCTCCCTCCCATTCACTGGCTCGCTCCACACAAAGCGAGCGCCTTGGTTTCTCTTCCATCGCGGCTCTTTCCAAGCTATATGTGCAAGAGGAACTCCGGAGCGCGCCGGCTGGCCAGCGCCTGAGCTCTCCGGGTCCTGCCTTTGCGCGCCGTCTCGCCTCTCTGCGATCCCGCCCCCCGCCCGCCTTTTTTTTTAATCGGAGCCATCGATTCATTTGTTTGCTCCCTGCTTGGCCCCGCTGAAGATCTGGCCGGTTCCCGTGGTTGGGAGGAGGAGGAGACGGGGCGAAGGAAGGAAGCCAGGCGTCTCCATCTGGCCCCCGCGATTCTCTCTTGCCACCAGGAGACTTGAAAGAGAGAGGAAATAAAAGGAAGGTAAGTGTCTGCCGGGTGCTGCGGGGAGGGGATTGGACTGCTGGGCTTAATATCCCGGCGTCTCCGGCCGGGCGTGATCTTGACTAACTCAGCCTTGGTTGCAAGTGACTAAGCGAGCTTTGTTAATATCCTGTTCTTGGAGAGAGGAGGAGGGAGACTGCACGCGAAAATCAAAGCCGCAGGACCAGCAAACGTTATTGCTGCTTCCCCTGAACCCCTCGATTTCTTTTGATAAAGGCAGCAATCATTCCCTGCGAGTGGCACAGATGGATTAAGTCCCGAGTCTTTTCTGCTTTTTAAAGGAGGCAACGAAAGGTGTCTCCTGATACGAGTTGTTCTGCTTGCTCGGTTTGGGCTTTTGTTTGGGGAGGGGCGCGTGGAAGGTCGAAACCGCCCGGAAAGGAAGCGAAGAGTCGTGTTGTGCGCGACTTGGTTCCGATACACTTTCTTTTGTTATGATTCTCCGTCTGCTTCGGCGGGCACGATGCGCCGCTCGCTCCCTAATCTAGGACTGTACTTTCTCTCCCCCCCAGCCCACTCCCACACACTCCCACTCTCGTAGTATATATTCAACCCAATCTCTTGGGCAAAGGAATAAGGTGGGGGAGAGGCGTAATCTGGGAGCTGTATCTAGGCCAAAATATGAAATATTTATCATGCCCCTTCGATGGTTTTTCCAGTCCAGCTCCTTTTATTTTTTAATTTGCTATTGGTAAAATATTCATTTTCAGGGGGGCGAGAGAGTACGAGTGTTTGTGTTTATGTTGTGGCAGTATCGTTCTAGGAGCACGCCTACAACGCTTTTCTTTAACCTGGTCACGCCTTAAAACTGGTGGCAGCCTGGCAGGATTTAATCTCGTGCAAAATTGGGGTGCTACTTAATTAACTAATAAATGGGGAGATCGCCGCCTCGTAACTTCTCGCTGCTGTTTTTATTGTGTGTGTGCGCGCGCGGCGTGAAGCCGGCGGATGCAATGTGAGGCAACCCAGTTTATTGTCACATAAAGGCGACGTCCGTCATTCTCCAGGAGCGGAGGTTGGGCAATCTTCCCGAAGACCTTTAAGTGAGAAGGGCAAAACGGTGTGTGTGTGTGTGTGTGCGCTACTCTGAAAAATTGCAAAGAATTCGAGAGGGGAGCAGAGTTAACTCCTTAGTAGCTGCCAGAGAAAAGAGCAAACTGGTATGTTCTGTGCGAGTGGAGCGAGGATGTCCTCTGTAGGAGTGCCTTTTTTTTTGTCACTAGCAAGGCTTCAGGTGCCCTTGTTGTTCTCTTGGGGGCTCTTGTGTCCCTTAAAGTTGTGTGTTCTCCCACTGCAGGATCTTCTTCTCCCTTCAAACTTGCTTGGAGTGCAATGCACGGAGTGTCCAGTGCAAATCAGGACATATTTCTGTCCGTTTTATCTCGTGTCACAAACTCACCTTGGTCAAGTCCCTTGCTTGTCTCAGCAGGCATACGGAGAAGATCCTAGACCAAGCTTACAGGGTTTGTTTGAAGTCTTGCTGTGACATGATGTTACGGGAAGTGCTTCACACCAGTGGAATGTGCTGCATAAATGCTAAGGGTGAATATAATGAAGGGTCCTTTGGATTAAGTTTTGTGCAACCTCTTCCACCCCTTTGCAGCCTCTGGGAACCCATGTAAAGCCTCACCTGAAGGCCAGGGAACCCCTGGCATGTGAGATGGCATGTGGGGAAGAACTGCAGCAGAAAGAGTGGTGGGGAATAGCAAAATCTGGTTGGAAGCAAATGCACTCAAGCAAGCTCAAATCCAACCAGTATTTTTGGGTGACTTACATGCTGGCACTTGATGTGTGCATGTGAAATACACAATAGGAAGGAGGAAGAATGTCTTGATGGATCTCTGCTCTGATTAGGGTCATCCAACACCCTCCTTCCAACTACAGTCAGCCAGATGTCCCTGGGAAGCTTAGAAGCAGAGCATGAAGGCAACAGACCCTCTCCTGGCAGCTCCTGGCATTCAGTAGTATATAATATTGTTAATACTGTTATTGCTATTAATCATCATCGTTATTTATTAAACCTAGTAGTCACTTGTCACCTGAAAGGTCTCCAAGTAACTAAGCATTGAAGAACATATATTGAAATACTTTATAAAGTTTTTTAAAAAATCATATAGATCATTGACATTCCTTTTTTTTAATTTTTTATTGTTAAAATAATTCAACATTAATACACATACAAACATACAAACATACATTTCATACAACATACCTACATACCTACAACATACCTACACTCAATCCCACAGATAATCATTGACATTCCATACAGCTTATAAAAAAGCAGCCCTGCCACAATAACAGGGATAACAGCATTGACAACACACTAACAAAAAACCCAGACAAAATGATACGGGAGCTCACCCCGCCGTGGGGATTCAAACCGCCGACTATATGATCGGCAAGTCCTAGGCACTGAGGTTTTACCCACAGCGCCACCCGCGTCCCATCTGTCTACCTCCTTACTTTCCAGCAATCCAGGGGTGGCACCTCTACCAGTCTCCTCCTCCTCAGTCTCAATGTTGCATTCGAAGAACTCCGCAGGGAGGAGGATAATACCAGAATTAGCTGGTTCTGTCTCTCATTGGCTTTGGCGCCACCTACTGTTGACCTCCCATCCTTTTGCACCACTGGTGGGTTGCAGCCGTCACTGTTGTCAAGTAAGCTGAAAACCCTGCCATGTCTAATCAGTGAGGGCTCTCTTGGGCATGGGAGTCATGACTTGGTTGCCAAGGAGTATGTATTGGTGAACTCCTTAAGATCCCCCCCCTTAAAAAGAAAGAGGAAAAAGTATAGGCCAAAACTGTCCCATTATGAGATGAGTGATTAGCAGCATCGGTCAGCTACTCGGCTGGTTTTCCAGGACGCTTGAAAGGCAAGTGAAAATGACTCTTGTGGTGAAGCATCTCTTCCAGCTGTAATAAGTCAGGGAGTGCTGGTTCCTTCCTTTCAGTTTTAAACCAGGCTAGCTCTTTCATAGCTCTTTTAGGGCCATTCTGTTGCCAGCAGGGAACTATACAGTAAAGTGTGTAAACTGTACAGTAAAGTGTGTATGTCCCACGGAGGACCTTACAGTCTTCAAATAAAAACATCTTGGAGATCCCGGGCCACAGGGAGGTTAGACTGGCCTCAACCAGAGCCAGGGCTTTTTCGGCTGTGGCCCCAATCTGTTGGAACGCTCTGTCACAAGAGACTTGACACCTTTCCACAGGGCCTGTTCCACCAGGCCTTTGGCCAAGGCACAGTCTGACCCCCTCTCTCCTTCTGTAATCTTCGTAGAACTCTAACCCAATGGTTGCCATTAATTTGATTCTGAATTGATTCTAGAATGTATTTTAATTAATTGACACTGCGATTTTTAGTACACTATGCTATTTTTACCTGTTGTTAGCCGCTCTGAGCCCGGCTTTGGCTGGGGAGGGAAGGATACAAATAAAATTTATTATTATTATTGAGATTCTAATAATCCTAATACACACTATTGTGATATACAGTAGCATGCTTTTCAGTAGACAAGAGCAGGAGTGGGGAATTTGTGGCCCTCCAGATCATAGAATCATAGAATTGTATAGATTGAAGGGACTCTGAAGATCATCTAGTCCAACCCCCTGCAATGCAGGAATATGCAGCTGTTCCTTAGGAGGATCAAACCTGCAACCTTGGCATTATCAGCAGCAGACCCTCATCTGGAGCAAGTCCTGCCATGGTAGGATACTCTTCACTTGACTTGAATTATTCCTCTTCTTTCAAAACCATGTGGGATAAGGCTTATCAACATCTTCCAGGGTAAACTCTTCCATTGTTCAACTGATTGGTTTTAAAGGGGGGAAACTTAGATTGAGAGGCAGTACAAATCATTGCTAGAATTAGAAAATGTTTGCTGCTTTCGTTAGAAAGTATTACTAGTTGGCCTCTTTTGATCTAGAGATCAGTTCTTCCATTTTTGGGTGGGGGAAGTGAAGACAGATGGATATCTAATATGAAATGAAACTGGCTTAACAGCAGGGAAATGATTCACTTTTTCTGCCCTGAAGAATTCTGTAAGCATGTTGACTATTGTTTTGGTAGTCTGAATCCTAGCTGTACATCTTAGACCCATAAAACTGTCATGTAAATTGAAAGCCGGGTTAATGATGGATAGTGGTTGGCATAATTGCATGCTTCGTGGTCCATACTTTCCCAGAGATGAGTGCACACCTAGGTGCATGTGCATCTTCAGTCTGGAATAGATGTGAAAGTGATTCTTCAAGCATGGAACACACGGAACAGGAAGTTAATTGTCCCAATCAAAACTGTTTTCATTCTGAGCATTCTAGAAACATCGGTTTCTTCAGTAACAAAGTTGGGTGCTGTTTAGGAATGATAAAATATGTTGCAAACCACTTGATTGAGGTTGAAAACCCAGTGAAATATAATTCTGACATGGAACTTGGAAGTAACAGGTCATTGGAAAGTCACTGGTGACTTGCTCATGGGTGAAGTCTGGAATTCCCCTCCATCAAGGGATGACCTGGCAGTTGCCTAGAGGTACCCATCGAAAACAATGAATCACATGTCCTAGTTATCACTATTCACATCTTCTCCTGAACAGGAAGGGATAAGGCATACACACATACACACCACTGCGTATTAAATATAAATCATTTGGGTGCTCAAAAGCAGCATTAAAAACTCCCATTGTTCTAGGCGCATTTTGCGACGTGGAATTTCATTAGTGTGAGCAGTTCCTGAGCTCTGGATGCAGTCCTGCACCTAAGATTTTGGATTAAAACTGCAGAGTGGAAGGAAAGGAGGACCTTTTTCTGCTTCCCCACTTCCACCTACTCTCTGAAGACTGGAGAAGAGACTCTCTTAAGAATATTGGGTGGGGTGGGCAGGGGAAGGACTAGACCATGTGAAAAATGAACATAATATTTTAGCTGCAGTTCATTCATTTTCAGCTTTGTATTCTCATTATAAAAAAGCGTGCCCAGACATTC